CCCCAAAAACCCCAAAACCCCAAAACCCCAAAACCCCGTGAGATTTTCTTAATTAATTCTTGAGATTGATTAGATTTTAATTGAGATTAAATAATTAGAGAAATTAAGTTGTTGGAGTGTCAGGTTTTACTTTTAAAAAATCACTCGATTACCTTACCACTGAATACTTCCATTTCATCTGAAAAAGGAACGAAAGATTCAAATTTTCTATCAGGAATTTGATAGGCTAACAGAGCTTATAATTACTACTTTAGTGAGTTACCACCTGTGCCATCAATCTATATCAGGGAATTAGGAAGATCATTAGGAGTAAAGGCAAAAGTTTATTTAGACCCTGTAGCACTATCCTTATAGACAACTAGAAGTCTTCCAGATTTAGGATTAACAGGATCACGATCCCCGTAGTATGGTTGTGAACCAATATCCTCTTCCATTACCTTTTAAGTATGGAAGCCTATAATTGCAGATTTTTCCTTATTAGAGGCATCAGTCGAAAAAGCTCCTGAGCCAGCTGTTTAATTCACATTTGATAATAGCTATTAGCCGTCCTTTACATAAATAGCAATTCTACCATAGGAGCCATCCTCTAATTTAGCTTTCTGAACAAAAATCAAATTATCCATAGTGCCGCAGCCTTCTTCTACTTAAATTGTTGGTGTTTAAGTATCGTAGCATTTTTCGAAACCAGTAAATTCAACAAAAGACAGAGCAGTTTGAAGCCACTCGAAATCAGTGGAATTGAGAAGTGAAGATTCAGGAAACGATTCAGGTTCAGGAGCAGCGGAACCTTGGGTATACAGTACCTCACTTTGCTAGTTGGTCTGTGATGAGAGGCTAAGGAGCCCTCTAGAGTCAACAACAGCGACTGAGATTTCATTGTATGCAGAAATGCAAGTTCCTACAGCTCCGCCAACCTTATACCATTTCTAGGCGACCGTTTGCCACTTCAATAGCTCGTGGTCTGCTTGGGACTCACTATTAAGTTGAAGTGCCCAAAGTGAACCGTCAATGCCTGCACTTATACTTGCTAGTTTTTCCCCTCCATATCTTGCATCAACAGTCCCATCCTCTGAAATGAAGATGGGTTCATCCTTAATCAAAGTTAGTCCCTTGTAGCCAGTGAGTGCTTTGTAAGAATACTTGGGATTACCTACTATTTGATGATAGCCATCAGATAGTCTATCTGGTGTGAGAGTGCCACTATCATCGCGAAGTCCAATAATTTCATTCTTGACAGTGACCTCGAAGTCAGATAAGCCACAGACTAGCTCAACCTTCTCTGAGTTTAGGACGCAGTTGTCAGGGGTAAGATAGTAAATGTTGCCTAATCTATCGAATCTGACAGCCTTTGCTTCGAAAGTTGGATCAGTGAGCGTCCACACATTAGATGATATATCGTAGAGGTAGACAGAGTACTTGAGTTTCTCAGGTGGAGAGCCGATCTATTAAATAGCGTAAACATCTCCATCTGGCGAAGTTTGTACATCAACGAAAGCATTCACCACAGTCCAGTGGAGCTGCTATGTTGAGTTCCAAGTAAACTTGTTGGTTGCTTCTTGTCTCCAACCCAACTAACCTCTTTGCTTCTCAAGAGCGTGGCTTATCTGGATTGCTCTGCAAGCTGTGAGTAGTGCACTCGCAGCAAATAATATCCTGTGCATCTGATTTTAATTATTATAGAGTTCTATTAAACCTTGAAATATATAATGCTTTTGCCCAATCGATTCCTTACAGACAAAGGTTTTCAAAGTGGACCAAGGCACCTGCAGATTTCAAAATGGAAATTAAAGATTAAAAGTGGGAATGCTTAAGTGATTTTCAACAAGTCAAATCACTATAAGGATCAAGCTACAAAGAAAAAAATTATTCTCGTTCCAAGTAATGCAGTAGTTTATGACGATGGGA